TGTCTTTAAGATTCACTGTAGCTATGCAGGTTATTTTGCTATGAGTATTTAGGGGATACTTAGAGGATATAAATATTATCTTGTTTTCTGCTGCTTTTATTGGTTTGTTCTATCTGTATTATTAAATCATCTATTATATTATTCTGCAGTCATTTGATATCTTACCTTCCTGTTACTTGCCTAGCAAGATAACTGTAAATGTTATCAGAATGATTATCTTTGCCATGTCTGAACAACAGAACCAAAAGAAACAAGCCCTAAGTACACTGGAGTATTGGTGAGATATTGTTGTTGCTAGATCTTCACCTACCTAAAACTGCCTAGATTGATCTGTTTTATTGGTAAGAACAGGATTTTCATTTTAAAAGCGTTTTAATGTAATTAGTTTGATAACAGCTGAAGTCTCCCGTGAGAGGTCTCAATCTGTTACCAAGCAATTAACTATTTGTATTCAGCTTGCCACTGAATATTTTATCGTTTATTAGTTTACCCTTTAATAAAATTGTTTTACACTTTCTAAAACATGTTTATATTTTCAAAATAATTTGGCCATGGCAATATTAGATCTAGAATATCTGCTATTTCTGAAAGATAAATTTGAACTTTGCCTGTTAGAAAATCATATATTTTGCTCAGTTGGTCTTTTGTATTTAAGCTGTTTCTCACCTAAGGAAAGCTTCAGGAAGAAAAGGAAAACTCTTTTGAAACATTGTCTCCGACTATTGTAGAATGGATAGCTAAAAAGACACCCCAGTGAATGAATTATATGATACTATTAAAAGTGTGTTCAGGGTTCTCTTGACCTTCATGACAGAAAATAACCAGTAGACTTGAAAGCACAAAAAAGTGAAATATTTGTTCACTATTTATGTGTTTGGTATTCTTATTTTATTAAAATTCTACTTTATTAAAATCACTTTCTACAAACATTAAGCGCCTATATTTTGTAAGAGTCTCTTAGCGGTATAACTTGCTTGATAACATGAGTACAAAGGATGTCAAATCTCTCAATATTCCACACAAATTTCTGACTTTAAGCCCATCCCCATCAGTGTGTGCAGGAAGTCCACAGTCATTCTTTGAGGCTTTCCCAGTCCCTTTCTTAGTTGTCTCTCCAACAAGAAGTCACTCATTTACTGTGACTACTGCTTTGCTCGTTCCCTGAGAATGCCCTCTCCTTCTGGAGTGAGTCCCATTTGCTTGTCATACTGGTTTGGCCAGCGTGATGCCTGTTGTCTCTGACCCAGCAGGAGACCCACCAGCACCTGCTCTACCTCCCGCCAGGCCAGCCAGGGGCTGGCCCACCTCCGAGTTCAGGCGTCTTCACTCCCTTACAGATCCCGCTGCCCCCAGGGCGCTGCGCCCGCACCGGACAGTGCCGGGCCGATCCGCCTTCCAAGTTTCAGGAGCTCTTCTCCCCGTGAAAGTTATCTCGCTCTTTTCTTCACCTCTTTTATTTTCGCTCAGATTTTCTTTTCCACCCTTTTCTCTTTATACAGAAATGCAGCCTGATGGCTTCAGTAAGCACGGATGGTTCTGATCTAGGACACATTTCTTTTAAGCAGGAAAAGTAAACCATATCCAGGCTTTTATATCCTGCTGTATTAAAGTCTTAGTAACTCCTCTTATACAAGTTTTCTCTGAGTGGGAAGAGAGAGAATGAATAATTACAGTCTGCCGCTTTACAGAGTAAGATAAAATGAATGCACAAAATAAGAAACTACCTTTCTGTGGACTAGAATAAGTGCAGATTTATGTACAAGTCTGTATATCAGTGCATGTACTCAGGTACATATATGAGTAGACAACAAAGGATGCTGTGAGAATTAAGTGAAATAAATATGTAAAAGTGGAAGACACATCATAGCCCTTCAATAAAAATTAATCTTAATTCGATAATTTTCTAGAAGAAATAATGGTTTTTATGGACAAGGTGGGTTTTGAGCAGCATGTTTTATTCTACTAGTACTCTCTAGCACTGTCCTTAGTTTCATAATTTCATACATAGTTGGGAAATTTTTTATTATTACAATCATTCCTCTTGTGATGAGTATTTGACTTTAACTCTATTTATAAATTTATTTTCTTCTTAGAAACTTTCTACAATGGAAACAGTTTACGATCAATTTGAAGAATGCTAATTGATAATTAAGTCTGTAAAGTGAGTCTTTTGTTAAGCCTGGGCATCTTGTAATTAATGACTGCTACCGCACCACCTGCTCTGTTCTGCCTTGAATCTTATCACATCGATGTTGCTTTGAAATCTGAGAATGCTTTCCACTTCCTGACAACTAATACGCTACTTGTTCTAGTCAGACATCATATTACTGACGAGCTGAATACCATTTCCCGTTTCTTTTTCCTGTATCTCTAAGTGAACCACATTTGTCTTAGTAGGATTACGATGTTATATTAAACATACTTAAATAAATCAGATTTTGTTTTGCAGAGGGAAGGAGATCATAGAAAAGATGAATCATAGTATATTAAATGTTCTCCAGATGTAAAATTTTGATAATATTTTAAAAATAACTAGGTGTACCTATGGAGAGAGAGTTATAAAAACTCTTGGAGAGGAAGTTTTTAAAAATTCACATTTCTTTCTGATCTTCCTTTTATACTATGAGGGTTTTTTTTCTCTATTCCGTTGTATAGGATTTGCTTTTTGTGCTTTGTATTGTTTTCCTTGGATCCAGTCTTCTTTATAACAAAAGTAACTTTTTAGGAATAAACTGAGATATAATTCTTACATTATTACTACTTGGTCACGTGCATCGTTCCTCTGTTCCACTATAAACCACCTGGTGGTTGAGTTCATGCCCTTTTAACTTTATATTCACTGTAGTGTCTGTAGGGTAAATGTTAATTGAATTGAATTTGGTTGTTGAATTAAACTGATCCCATTAATTTACTTCACTCTGTCACTTAATACCCATTACATGGTCTTACCCTTTAGGTGTTTATCTTTCAAAAGATAATCTTTTTCCATGAGTTGAAAGTTACTGGGAGTATCTCACCATATTCACAACTAGAAATCACAAGGGTAGGGCCAGTTTATTCTGATACTGGATTAGATTCAAGTTGCTGGACCACAAAAACAGTTTTCTAGTGTCAGTCTTTTCAGAAGAGATATTCTAATGCAACAATATGGTTAGTACTAAGAAAACAGTAATAACTTCCTCTACCTAAATAAAATGCCAGGGCCAAAGTGTGTTCCTGATGGCTGAGTTTTTCATTTGTCATGTGGATCAGACTCCTCCCACAAATGGGATCACTTTATTCTCTCCCGTGCTGAATCTATATGTTAAGCCAAATTACATGTATACCCTTTACCAGTATACCATGAAAATCACTTTCTCATGACCCAAAGATACTCACGTAGAGAGTGAATTTTTGGAAGACATGTTGAGAAAAGAAATAAAAGTAAAACATTTCAAAACATGTTGAAGATAAGTGGTAGGCCATTGTGTCTAGCTTCTAGAACATGGTGGGCGTATACTACAAGATAAGGCTGGAAAGACAGGTCAGTAACAAAATGTAGAAGGTGCTGAATGCCAGGCTAAGAAGTTTACATTTTTTATTTTATGTAGTGGGGAATCTGTGGATTTTGAGCTAAGAAGGAGTGGGGTGTTGATGTGCTCTGTGTTATAAAAATGACTCTAACAGCAGCAGACTGTGGAGTGAGAGTAGAAAGGAAAGAAATTCCAGAAATGATGCAG